GGGGGTAAAAGTACTTTAAACTGTATAAATTCAATTGAAAAAAATTGGCCAATCACGAGAAAGTTAGCCTATATGTTTGACATTGAATTAATTGATTTATAATGTCATTCTAGTTATTTTTCTCGTTCCCGAAAATGGATAATAATAAATTGGCAAAATCGGGCACGAATCACGTCTATACTAAAGCTTAATAGAAACGAAGTTTAATTATTTTAATATAAAACACCTTTATGTTTTTCAAATTCTTTTCGTAAATTTAAACAATAGGATTCTCAAAATTATTATGATTTTACTAGTATGCAATAAATCATTTAAACTTATGAATTAACCAAAACTGCATATACGAGCAATTTTGTCTCCATTATAATGTTGATTGTTGACAATTTGACTTAATAAAAGATTTTAAATTTTCACTCCAATTAATAGGGCTCATATAGATTTTACTAATAATCGCGGCAGATTAAAAGGAAACAATTATTATAAATTGCACCAGATTAAATTGCGCCAGTGGCGTTAAACACCATATAATTTTTTATTATAATTTTGTTGTCAATGCTTAAGTTAGAATTAAAAATTAAGATAAAATTAGAAGCTATAGACTAAAAATTAAAGCTAAAATAAAGTTGGATAAAGTTATGCATATATTAATAAATTTCTTATTATAGGATTCCATAAGTAAGCCTAGTATTATAATATCCTATAGATAAATCTAGTATTCTTGCCTTATTTATCATGCATAACTACAGTATTATAGCTATAGTTTTTTTTCATTTTATCTATCATTTAGATCACAGATTTTCTCAACCATTGACTGGCTTTATCAATTCCAGCCACATTTACAAAAAAATTCTTATTCAATATAGTAAAAAAATTTTATAAAATGTCTAATTAAAATCTTAAGATAATTATTAATTCTTATAACCAATCTTTTCAATGGAATCTCCTTTTCTCGTTTGTCAAAAGATAATACACAACAATTTTTTAAAAATTGTTTTAAACTATCAGGTCCAAATATCCATCTAGCTGAAATATTTAATGCTATCAAAGTACTAGGTAAAATTTTTCCAATATCTGGTAAAATATCGTTAACATCAAAATATCTTCCATTACCATAAATATATGGTTTTGATTTTTTGCAATTAATTAAATTCCAAATAATTATCCAATTGTATTTGATCCGGTCATTACTCCAAGTCGTGCAAGATTGGGATAATTCATCGAGATAGAATTTAATACTTGTGCATAACCTTCTTGTCTACAATCTTCAGGCCAACCAAAAAATATTTCTTCAAAATTTTGGTGGCTGGCTAAAATTAATGATTCTAGAGTTTCTGCCGATACTGAATGTTATGGACCTAAGATTAGTAAGTGGTTCTAATCTAAGTAGGTCCAAAACATTAGGTACCAAACTTTTGAATTAATAAATTCTAAGCTTCCTAAACTTTGACAAATTGGTAACCAATCAAGCACTATATCACAAAATTTTATGTAACGTAATGTCTTTTTCTGAAGTAAGAGCGCGATGCCTAAAGCTTGAGGATAAAGACATTCGCGTAAATGAAATGTTTTAATTGGAATTGAGATTCAATAAAACGAGCGGAGAATACGGCATTGGTGTTATAATGATCATCATCTTCTCTATATTCAAATTCAAGTAGTCTGACCACCATCTGTAAACACATTTAAAAATGAATTAAATGAAAAGCATAAAGATTAATATAAATGATTAATTTAATTTTTTTTTTTTTTAAATAATTTTTAAATAGTCAGCAGACATAAAACATAATGATAATATAAACACTTTTTAAGATGTCGACAAATTTATATCAATATTGGAATATCTTGATTGCAAACAAAATTACCAGCCAATTCAATTTCTTTAACCGATCTCACCCATCTACGAACTTTGGTCCGCGTAAAGTAATTTAATTAAGATCAAAATAATTAATTCATTCTTGATATCATCATATCCATAACGAATAAAGAGAATTAAACCCAGGTGAATATTTAGCAAATAACGAAACAAAGGCATGTATAATTTTTGCATTATAGGATTATTATCGGATGTACAGTCAACCCTCGTTAATATCAACCTCGTTAATATCAACCTCGCGTTAATATCAACCTCTTAAAAAAAATATGCTCAAGCTATATGAAAACTATCCCGTTATTATCAACCCTCGCATATATCAACATAATTGTCTAATCCAAATGACACACCATTCTTGAACCGAAGCTATTAAAGGGTAATATGCAAGATGTCTCAAGAATGATGAGTAATTAAAAGTTGGCGAAAAATAACTTTTGGAAGTGATTAAAGAAAATGAAGAAGAGAGTAAGTTTGAGGAAAAGTAAGTAAATCAAAGACTTAAGCACGACAAGTAAGTTGAAATTAGATGATGAGAAGAATCATGACTTCTGCTAAGTAAAAGATGAAAAGGTTTATTCCATAATATTTGAATAGCATTAGCGCACCAAGTGCGATCAACTAAACAAATAAATGTAAATTACCTGGGTCATTATCGAAATGTTTAAAAATTTTCATAAAGAATCTCAGATGGAGGAGGTTGTAATATCAACAAATAATCTTGATAACTATTTTTCAAGAATTTTTGTTTTTACTCACGAGACAAAGGAACAAGACGACAGCTTTGAAAATTTTTCATAAGAATGACAATCATGGTCAAACAACATATGTTTATAATACTGCTTTAGGGATACAATTACAGAACCATGTGGACATACACCAAGTCTTACATTATAAGTATTATATTGCATCAATTAGAGGTATCAATGCAAGTTTTTTTGACAAGTACTTAGCTGTAGTACAGTACCCGGTGTGACAATAATGTAGACTAATTTTTTAAAATACTAGTTATATGTATATCGATATGATGCGTAATACTCGTGACTTTAATTTTTTACATCATACCGGGTACTAGTTTCCGAGAATTACGTACTATTCAATATGGTTATTCTTATTTGAAATTGTTAAATATATTTTTTAGAAATGGATGGCATCATTACACCGAGAAATATGGAAGAACCTGAGATTGATGGTTTAGTTATTGCAGGTAAGATTTTAAACTAATTAATCAGAAACGTTTCATTTAATCACCAAATAATTTTGTACGAGCAATTTATAATATGTTTTACTAATTTTAGCAACCAATAGACCTGAAATTATAAATTCAGCACTTTAAGACCCGGCAGATTGGATCAACATATTTATATTCCACCGCCGAATTTTGAGGTTTATATTTCTTGTTTGTTTATATACAATCTTGATCATTGTAGTCATACAGTATTATTTTGTTTAGCAATGTAGTTATATTAAAAGGCAAGTTATGAAAAATGCCACCTATAACGAATGACCAAATACATTATTTACAGTGTTGGGCAAATTAGTGGTCGACCAAAAATTTGCTGGTCAAATTGGTCTGGTCAAATTGGTCAATTGGTCAAAC